AATGGCCATACTGCACTTTAAAAAAAAAAAAAAAAGTTGCCAAGGCTAGATAACCCCATAACTTCTGGTTCCCAGTTTGGCATTTTCATTGTACTGTGCACTTACTAAAAGAGGGAACTGAAATATGATTCATTTTAGAAAGGTTATCTTCTATAAAGAGCAACAGTTAGGACATTATTTTTGTATCTTCTAGTTAATCAAACACTCATTTAGCCTAAACTTCATTCCTGTCCCAGAATCCTAAGAAAGAAATTTTGCTGTCAGAGAAAGCTTTGCTGTCACAACCTCAGATCAGCATGACCTTGGAACTTTCTGCAGTGATGGAAATGTCTTCCATCTGCACCGTCCAGTGTGGGAGCTACTCTAACAGACTGATTTTTAAATTTTTCTTGATTTTAATTAAATATAGCTACGTGTTGCCAGGCACTACCATTTTGGACAGTGCAGCCTTAGAGTATAGAGCAGGGGCCAAATGGCAATCCCTGGCCCCTTGATATCAGAATCAGCCAGAGAACTTGCCGAAAGTACAGATTCTGGGCCTAATGCCCAGTGACTCTGATTCAGCAGGTCTGGGATGAGTGCGTTTTAAGAACTCATTTGGTTATTCTATTTGCACTCAGATTGGAAACTTGCATTATGTGAGCTCTTGGAATGAAAGAGGAGAGCCAGAATCAGCCATCAAGTCCTGGCCCTGAGCTTCTAGGGAGACTGGAGCAACCTCCCGGGGAATGGCAGACCCTTGGCAAATGTGTTGAATGCCATGGGCCTATTCCCTGGAAAAAAAATGCAAATTGCATTTCATTTCTGGGACTCACAGACATCCTTGAACTCAAACTAAGAGCTCCTCTTACAGATATGGCCCAGGGTAAATCTGGTACCACCCCAGACATTCCTGCCTCCAGACTTCTGCTGGGGTCATCAAAATATTGCAGAAGGAAATTAGGCAGTGTACATGCATCAGGCCTGAAAGAATGCTGAATGAATACTGCTCCTTTCCTTTCTTCCTTTGTTTTGGGGGCTTGTGGGTGTGGCTATTACCACTACTCTGCCCTTTTTTTTTTTTTTTGGTTGTAGGGAGTACTGGGGATTGAACTCAGAGGCACTCGACCACTGAGCCACATCCCCAGCCCTATTTTGTATTTTATTTAGAGGCAGTTGCTTAGCACCTCAATTTTGCAGAGGCTAGCTTCAAACTCATGATGCTCCTGCCTCAACCTTCCAGGACGCTGGGATTACAGGTGTGTGCCACTGCGCCCAGCTTGCCCTTTTTTTGGGGGGGCGGTACCGGGGAATGAACTCAGGGGCACTCAACCACTGAGCCACATCCCCAGCCCTGTTTCATATTTTATTTAGAGACGGGGTCTCACTAAGTTGCTTAGCACCTTGCCATTGCTGAGGCTGACTTTGAACTCGAGATCCTCCTGACTCAGCCTCCTAAGCCGCTGTGATTACAATCATGTGCCACACGTTCTGCTGCCCTTTGCTTTTAATGGGATACTGAGAGCAGGGGCTGAAGAGCTGGAGATGGGGATGCAGCTGGGAGAGCGCAGTGGAGCAGGATCGTGACTTGCCCTAAAGACCAAGGTGAGGTATAGGGGCTCCCACTTAGTCCTCACTCCCCACATGCTGGAGGAGGAAGAAGGAGCAAAGCTGCAGGGCTGTGAGCTTGGGGAACAAGCCAGTGACCAAAACCCAGGGCAGGGAAGGCAACCTGGCCAGCAGTCCAGGGGTGAATAGAGAACCCTGAGTTTTGTGGACCAGACCATAGAGAAGCTGGGAGGGAGGGAACGAGTCGTGTAGACGTGTATGTGCAGAAGAGCTGCCATCGGGCCAAAGCTTTCAGAAAACAGCCTCTTGAACTTGGAGGCTGTCTGTGAGGGTCTGAGTCATGGTCATGTGGCATGGGAAAGCCAGCCACAGGAGCAACTTTGCCGCTCCCAGGCCATGATTTTGTGCCCCTGGGAGGTGAGTGACAGCCTGTTCTCCCTGTGCCCTTCACAGGTCCTGATGCTATCTGCTGGGTCAGCTTCTCAATAGCCTCCCTTGTCTCTCTGCCCGCCAGGCTGAGTGAGTCATCAGGACGTGCACAGGAGGCTCTGAGCTTGGCGGCTCGACCTCGGCCTCAACTTCTCCCCAGAGAGAGAGGGCCTGGCTTGCGCGTGGAGGGAGGATCAAGGCTCCTGGCCTGCTGCCCAGCCGGCCGTCAAGATTTATGTGTGGTTCCTGGGACTAAGGGAGTGCCCCATAGCCTCTCTGGAGGAGCTTCAGCTCAGGATGAACTTTCCAGAACACAGGCTATCTGAACCTGAACATGGCTAGGCCTCTGAACAGCTAGGCGCCCACTCAGCCTCATTTTCCTCTTTCATCAGCTTTGCTTTCTTCATTCTTGGTGCTCAGGGTCATCCTGTCTCTGAAGGTCAAGGAGAAGCACTCCTGGTCCTTTGAATCCTTTGTTCAGCCAACAGCAGTTGTCTCCTTAGTACCCCGCTGTGCTATGTACTGAGGATGCCACTGTGTGTAGGGGCCCTTCTCCCCTCTGCAATCCCCTGACTAAAGTGATTACCTGAGTGCCCCCCTCCTTGTGTTTGCCCATAACCCAAGAGACGTGGGGAATAGGCACAAAATCTAAAGGGCCTAGGGTCTGGGATCTAGTTGGTGAGCTGGGTAACTTCAGGTAAGTCTCTATGTAATGAAGACACAGATTCTGTAATTGAAAACGAGGAGATCAAGTAGCATTGACCTCCCTGTAACTGTAAGCATACCTCTACTACTGTTCGGTTTGGAGGTTTTTTAGTTTGTTCTTTTTTCCCCCTTTTAAACTTTTTTGTAGTTGTAGATGGACAGCATGTCTTTATTTTAATTTGTTTGTTTTTATATGGTGCTAAGGATGAACCCAATGCCTCACACCTGCTACAGCCCCACCCCTTTTAGTTTGTTCTTAGGATCACACTTTCCCTGATAAAGAGGCTGAGAAAGATAAGATCTACTCCACACCTTAGATCAGTTCTTCTCTGGAGGAGGGGGCCTTGGGGCAGTGCATAGGGCGATGAAAGAAATCATTACAAAAATTAGCCTTCCCTGGAGGCCTTTCGCCAGTTTGAAAGCCAGAACAGGGCTGGGGATGTGGCTCAAGAGGAAGCGCGCTCGCCTGGCATGCGTTCAGCCCGGGTTCGATCTTCAGCACCACATACCAACAAAGATGTTGTGTCCGCCGAAAACTAAAAAATAAATATTAAAAAAAAAAAATTCTGAAAGCCAGAACATCCCTTAGACCTTTTAAGATGGCCAGTCATGGTGAGGTTGCCCATCTGGCCTGCTCAGCACCTGGCCTCAGGAAGCAGCCATCTCTGCTGGAAGCTGGAGCTGCTTTGAGTTGAGAGCCAGGCAGCCCTTGAAGGCTGAGATCCAAGGAACAAATTAACAGCTCAACCAACCCCTCCCACCTCCAAGTCCCACCTCCCAGTCCAGTGCTATCTTACATAGTAATCGGTGGGAAAAGATAAGTGAGGCAGATTAGAAGCCTGGCCTGGTGTTCTTTAGCCTTCCCGAAATCTTGTTACAACCTTTGGGCCTGACTGAGCAGAAGGCCAGAGGGTTAGTTTTGTCTCCCTGTGGCCTGCCTTTCTTCCTCAAGAACAAACAAAGGCATTTACCTGATTTAATGGCATTATAGCAGAGAAGCTTACACCTGTTAGTGACAGCTTTAAGACTGACCTGTGATCCGAAGGCAATTATTAAAAACCTGTCCGTGTTTGGTTCTGTCTTAGGCTTTGTCTAAAGCAAGACACACCCCAGCAGGCCCTGCCTTTAAAAAGTCCCTGTCTTTAAAGAGGTTTCCAAATGCTAACAATCTCAGACTGCCCCCCCCCTTTCATGATAATTGTGGTCTCTGTGCTGTTTATATGGATGGTCAGCAGCATGGGGCTGCTCTCCCCTGCAGCTTCCTTGGGAAGGCTCAGGGCTGGTGAAGAGGATCCCGAGACAGATTCCCCATGCTTTGACCTCAGATTTCTAGAAGTATTGGTTGGTGTTGGGTTTCCAATATAAATGCCACTACTAACACTGCCTAAAAGAAAAATGATATCTAGAAATTTTCAGCGAGAGAGTCTGAACAGTAGAGGAAAAAGCATGTCAGTCCCTTTTGGAGAACACACATATATGCATCTTGGGAAAGGAGCCACGTGCTGAGCACCGTTGCAGGTTGAGTATTAGACTTTGTAAGATATACATACACATATATACTGTATATATGTATGTATTATATATGAATATATTTTTATACATTCATGTGCTGTGTATCAACATTTTGATCAATATTGGATTAGATAACAATAGCCCCATTAAATAATATTGTCTAGTGACTCATAGCCATTATAGTGGTGTATGTACATTCTATGCCGTTCACACAATGGTTAAGCTACCTAAGGATGTGTTTCTCAGGACATATTCCCATCATTAAGCGATGCAAGGCTATGCATGTATCTACCTCTTGTGAGGGGACAACACAGTACCTTGATTCTGTCCACTTTTTTTTCTGGAGAAAAGGCACTGTGGGCTGCATAGACATGTCCTCTGTGAAGGCAAGGCTTCTGTGGGGACAAAGAAGTGATGGTTTGGAGGTTGGGAATCACTGCCTGTCCTGGGGAAAGAGTTTGCCAAACAACAGACCATTCCGTTATTGTAAAGGGCAAGAAGCATCCAGGCCTGATGTTTATATTGTTGCTGTCCCAGGGGGAACAGGCTGGAATCCTCCCTGTTGGCCTGGCGCAGGAGTAATTTATGTCGGGGTACCTGTGGGGTCAGGATCACACACTTGGAACATGTGTAGATGAGAAGGTTGACTCCTTGGCCACTTGCGATGTTTGAAGGTTGTGTGCATGGCATGAAGAAGCAGAGACCATTTGTCCCCTGTGTCTTTCCTGACCCCTGAGCCTGCCTTACACCCACCCCACTAGGGCCTGAGCTTAGGAGTGACCTGCTCTGTGTTTGGTCTCCCTCAGGGTAAGAGTGAGCCTGGGAGATGGCAGTGATGGAAGTGGCCTGCCCAGGCGCCCCTGGCTCAGCCATCGGGCAGCAGAAGGAGCTGGCCAAGGCCAAGGAGAAGACACAGTCACTGGGAAAGAAGCAGAGCTGCGTCTACAAGCTGGAGGCTGTGGAGAAGAGCCCAGTGTTCTGCGGGAAGTGGGACATCCTGAATGACGTGATTACCAAAGGCACAGCTAAGGAAGGCTCTGAAGGCGGCCCAGCCGCCATCTCCATCATCGCCCAGGCTGAATGTGAGGGCCTGGATTGCAGTGGGCATGGGGCACAGGGGCGGGCTTGCAGGTGGGTGGCTGACCCCGAATAAAGGCCAACCTCAAGGCCCCCTGTGAGAGAGCAAGATCAGGGTGACCACTTCATAACATTCTCAAAAGACACATTGGGAGTCTACTCCCCAAATCAATATGAACTGGGAACAATAAAAGTGCCCGGATGGAACACTGAGCTGGGGCATAGGCTGTGTCCATCGTTGTAACCAGAGCAGAGGAAGAAAGCCAAGAGAAAAGAGCACTAGGGGTTCCTTGAAGGATCCTCAAGCAGGCCACTAACCTCTGCTGTGATCTTGAGCAGCCCAGGTGTCTGGAGAGGCCCAGACAGGAAAAGCTGGGTTTCCTGGAAAGCCCCACTGGGGCTTCAGGCCCTTCACCACTTTCCATCAGAGTGGCCCCACCCCAGAGAATGAGCACCCTCCTCTCGGGTCTGCTGGACCAGTCTAGGGGCAGTCAGGCACTGCAGGGTGAGGCCAGCGTGGCCCTTTCTGTTTCTAGCCCAGATGCCTTGGGCTGACTAGTAATGGCAGCTACCACAGAGGCACAAACTCCAGGAGGGCTGGGGAGGGCCAGGATCCCCCTCCTACTGTGTCACCTCACCTTCACCCCAGGAGCCGGACAGCTGCTGGTGGCATTTCCCCACATAGACACAGCCTTTGTCTCCCACTGCCTTCTGGTTGGTTTTTGAGGTGAAAGAATATAAATTAGTGAAGACACACATATATACATAAACATGAATGTATAATAGCTTATATTTGTTGAGCCACCGCCGTGTGCCAAGCACTGTTTGGAGTATTCAGGTGGCCTGTCTCACTGAAGCTTCACAGTGTAGTGAGGTGGGCACCGTACAGCCCCCATCTTGTAGATAGATGTCCCCTCTGTTCTTGACCAATAAACTGGAGGGAGGGTGACCACAAGGGAGAGAAGGAAGCTTGTCTGGGAGATAAGCCAGGTGAACTGGGAGGGGAAGGAGGAGCCCAAGTGGGACTGTCTCTAAAATCTCTCTCCTAAGTGCTGAATTCCTGATCTTTCTCTTCTTTCTGCTAATCTAACCCTTTTTCCTTGACTTAAAAGGTGAAAATAGCCAAGAGTTCAGCCCCACCTTCTCAGAACGAATCTTCATCGCGGGGTCTAAGCAGTACAGGTAAGAAAGCATGCTGGCACAGAAAGGGGACACTGCCAGGTGTCCACCTCTCCAAACGCCTGCCCTGGCTGCTCCCCACCACCCCTGGCTCCCTGCTCAGCACCTGGGCTCAGCCCCTGGCAGCCGTCCAGCTTTCCCAGCCGAGCCACGCTGTCAGCCAAGCAAGCTTTGCAGAAGCTCCCCACAGCTCACAGAGGACTCCTGGCTCCCATCAGCTTGACATTTTATTTTTATTCTCTTCTGAGTCCTGAGGCACCCCTGGTTTCCCATCAATAGGAGGATGCCGGGAACAGCAGTTACTTCCAGCTGGTGTGCAGCCATGAGCACAGGCCCAGAGAGGCCACCCTTACTGTCCTCAGAGAAAACACCTGAGATGGCTTACTCCTGTGTGACACACCAAGTAGACATAAGGCTTGTGAAAATAGTAAGGGACACAGATTTTTTTTTTTTAAGTAATAATTTGAGCCTCTGATTTTTTTTGTTGTTGTTTGTTGTTATTGTTTTAGTTGGCAGTAGACCTTTATTGTGTTTATTTGTATGTGTTGCTGAGATCAAACCAGTGCCTTATGCATGCTATGCAAGCTCTACCATTGAGCCACAGCCCTAGCCCAGGTCACAGATTTGAACCATTTGATGGCCCTATGGAAGGAAGCCAGGGCCAGGATCTCTCTGTCCCTAGATTCCCCATTCCCTCAAAGGTGAATTGTGGCAACTGAGAGTTCAACCTAGAAACAGTTCCCTCCTCCCCACCTGGCAGACATTTTATCATCTTAGTGGGAAACTGCTAGTGATGAAAAGGCCAAAGGGACTTGGTTGTTGCTCAGGAACCAAGAAATGCTTGGCTGGGTCAGGCTTGGTGGCGCATCTGTAGTCCCAGCACTCTGGAGGCTAAGATGGGAGGATCCCTTGAGCCCAGGTGTTTGAGACTAGCCTGGGCAACATAAAGAAGTCCCAACTCAAAAATTAAAGAAAAAAGAAATGGGGGCTGGGGTCGTGGCTCAGCGGTAGAGCACTCATCTAATATGTGTGAGGCACTGGTTCAATCCTCAGCACCACATAAAAATAAATAAATAAACGACCAACTACAACTAAAAATATATATATATATATTTAAAAAAAAAAAAGAAATGTTCAATGCTTGGTCAAATTGCTTACATTGCCTCCGACTACATATGGCCCAGAGAAGGGGGATTCTAATGAACCCACTTCTGTCAGCTGCCGGAGAGAAGCCCACAGGCCTCCAGCCACCTTTGTGAGGACAGTAGACCACATACACAATAATGGTCCCGTGAGATTACATCACCTAGTGACTTTATAGCCGTCTTACATTTGCATAATGAAATCACAGAATACAACATTTCTTGGACTGTCCCCCTTTTGTTAAGTGATGCATGACTGTAATGAGAAAGCTGGGATTTGTGCTCAAGTCTGTCTCACCCTGTTATCTGAACCATTTCATCTTCCTGCTTTCTTGTACTCAAACTGTGGATCTGTCCCTTTTTTGACAGCCATCCTGAGAGTCTTGATCAAATCCCCAACAATGTGGCCCATGCAACCGAGGGCAAAATGGCCCGTGTGTGTTGGAAGGGAAAGCGTCACAGCAAAGCCCGGAAGAAACGGAAGAAGAAGAGCTCGAAGGCAGGAGTGTCCTTGGCCAAACCCTTGCCCAGAACCCCTGAGCAGGAGAGCTGCACAGTTCCAGTGCAGGTGAGGCCCACGGCCCCCGCCCAGGCCCCAGCTCACGAGGCTTTCGGAATGGAGCCTGTGCCCTGATCCTGGCCCTGTGTCCTAACACCTATTTCCCCACAGGAGGACGAGTCTCCACTAGGTGCCCTGTATGTCAGAAATGCCCCCCAGTTCACAAAGCCTCTGAAGGAACCAGGCCTTGACCACCTCAGCTTTAAGAAACTCGGAGAGGATCTACGGCCAGTGCTGCCTCGACCGGAACTCCATAAACTCATCAGCCCCTTGCAATGTCTAAACCACGTGTGGAAACTCCACCACCCGCAGGACATGGGCCCCCTGCCCCATTCCGCTCACCCCTTTCCCTACAGCAGATTGCCCCATCCTTTCCCATTCCACCCTCTCCAGCCCTGGAAACCTCACCCACTGGAATCCTTCTTCCTGGGCAAACTAGCCTGTGTAGATGACCAGAAGCCTCTTCCCGGCCCACACGTAAGCAAACTGACCTGCATAGACAGTCAGAAACCCCTGCCTGGCCCACACCTGGAGCCCAGCTTCCCGATTCAGAGTTCCCGTGAGAAGTTCGTGGAAGAGTACCTGGTGCATGCTCTCCAAGGCAGTGTGAGCTCAGGCCAGGCCCACAGCTTGGCCAGCCTGGCCAAAACATGGTCAGCCGGGGGCTCCAGGGCCCAGAGGCCCAGCCCTGAAACCGAGGACAATGAAGGCGTACTGCTTAATGAGGTAACTACTCCCTTCAAGTCCTTTATGCATACCTTCACCCTAACTCTCAGGCCAAGAGCCACAGCTGGGGTCAGGTGGTGCCTGCTGTGGGAACAGAGCAGGCCTTAGGGGATGGTTCTCTCCCTGTCAGAGTCACTCATGCCCCATGGTAACAAAGCAATTAGTAGCAAAGTACTTGGGGATTATGTTAGTCAGCTCCCCATTACTGTGACAAAATGCCTGAAATAATCGGTTTGAAAGGAAGAATGGTTTATTTTGCCTCATAGTCTCAGAGGTTTCAGTCCATGGTCACTTGATCCTGTTGCTTTGGTGGTTCAGCAGGAATGCCTGGCGAGGAGGCCTGTTCACCTCCTGGTGGCCAGGAAGCAAAGAGAGAGACCAGAAGGAATCCCAGTATCCCCTTCAAGGACACTTTCCCCCAAATGACCTAACTTCCTCCCATTAGGTCCCACCTCTTGAAGGTTCCACAATCTCCCAATAGTTTGGCGATCAAGCCTCCAACACATGGGTTTTGAAGGGACATGTAAGATCCAAACCATAGCAGTCATATTTCTTTCAACCTGCAGCCTCACTTTCCACAGCCTTTCTAGCTGTTTCTATTTTTTGTTCTTATTATCCACCTCATTAATATTGAACTGTACGGATTGTATGAATGATACACATACTGGAAAATAGGAATAACCTGATAGGAAAGATGGGGACTTTGCCATCACCATTACCCTTTCTTTTTCCTCTAGTTCTTTCCCCAAATACCTTCAGACTGTAAATGGTTGATCTTAACGTTACTTTGGGGGGTTTTATTCCATTTACTTCACATGATCCCTTTAGCCCTGCCCTTTTTCATTGTTCCTCTCTTTCTTCTTCCTTCTGGCTCCTGAGTTACATGGTCAAGGTTGTTGCAATTCTATGTCTGTCCCTCCATCACAAGCCCGAGAGGTCTTCCTCACAAGAACCTCCTGGCCCCAGGCAGCTGGTGCACTTACCTTTGCCTTCTCCTTGTTTCTTTAAGCCCCACTGCTTCCTGTTCTGTGGTCCCCCTCAGAGCCTGCCTTGACCCAGCGGTGTCTTTGGTGGTACCAGCAACCCTGGCAATGGCCCACAGCTGGAGAGCCTTCCCCACTGCAGCCCCTTGTCCCTCTGCTGTCCTGACCACTGAAACTGGCCTCTTTCTCCTGCTAACTCTAGAAGCTCAAGCCAGTGGATTATGAGTACCGAGAAGAAGCCCACTGGGCCACGCGCCAGCCCCGCCTAGGCAGAGGCTCCTTCGGAGAGGTCCACAGAATGAAGGACAAGCAGACAGGCTTCCAGTGTGCTGTCAAAAAGGTATGCCAAAAAGGTACATCAGGGTTCTGGGTGCTACAGGGGAGCCAGGCAAGGGCTGTTGCCGTCCACATTCTGTCTTTCAAGGACAGCCATAGGGTTGCCGTGGCTCTGACTTGATAACAGCCTGGCCATCGCTAGCTGCCCTCGGTCAGCTGGAACTGGAAGGGAGCAATGTGTCACATGGCCTGGGCTGGTCACTGCCCTCGGTATGCATGTCTGTGAGAGGCAATGTGAGAGCACATAGCTTTAAGGTCTGAGTACAACCAGGGCCACTGCTGACACCAGGGCCTGTAGGGGCAAGTCCAAACCTGGAAGGTGGTCGGATCCTCATGAAATCCATGCTGAGCTAAAACCTGCAGGCCACCCGGTGGGGCTACTGTACACTTTGACCGGAAGGTAATTAGAACAGTAGCCTCCACTTGTCAGGTGCCCCCTGGATGATGGCAGACACAGGGAGTTACACACAGGTCTACTCCAGGTTCAAGCCATGCCACCTGCTGGCCAGGTGCAGCACAGATGGCCATCACAGGGGAACACGACTCAGCAAGAGATGGAGGAGCTGGCTTAGTGCAGCAGAATTGGGGTTCAGACCCAGGCTTGTCTGACCCCAGTGTGGCTCTGTGCCCCTGTTCAGGAAGAGAGGAAGGAGGGAAGACTTATGGTCCTAGGGTCTTGATTAGCAGCAGAAGGCGGAGTCGCCTCTCCTACCCCTCATCTCCCCAGTGACTTGCCCAGCTGGGCCTAAAGCCCAGGCCCAGGTGACAATCAGCAGCAGCTGCAGATCCACAGACATAGAGGGTGTTGGCCCTACTCCCCACAGCACTGTTCTCCCTCCCAACTTGGAGCTCCCCTCAATCGGAAACCACCTTGTTTGCAGCCCAAACTCCAAACCCCAGGGTGAACCATTTTCTTGGCCCATGGGGCAAGGTGAAATAGGCTCAGAGATGGATTGGTTTCAAGTGGCTTATGTCAAAGACTCTGATCCCCAAAAGGAACAGGATCAAGGTGCCAGACCCAACAGGCCCCACACACTCAGGTCCTGTGCAGAGTGAACCCCGCCACTCCTGTCCTGGCTGCCTGTGACGTCAAGGGCTGAGGCTCTAGCTGGACCGTGAATGACCCTGGGCCAGGCTGTTGGAGTTCTTGAGTGTGATCCTCAGGGTGGTGGGATGAGAGAGGGGTCAGTCTGTCCATTTTACCCCAGACTTCACATACACTGTGTCAGATAAGCAAGCACCTCCCTCCCCATCCACCACTGGCAGAAGCACATGCTGAGCTTTTGCCAGCACGGATTGTCTTCCACTTGGATGCCAGGGCCACGTGCCTGACCTCCTCAGCTGCAGTTCCCTTCCCCAGGCCACCGGAGAAGGCTCAGCTGTCCCTCCTGAGAGGCTGTGGGAGGAGGGTGAGAGAGTGTGAAGTGTCCTAGAGACGAGCATCCAGTGCTGGGAGCTTAGTCACTGGGTTCTCAGCTGTTCCTCTGCTGAAGTCCTCAGAGTCCCAGGCAACAGGGTAAACAACCCTGATGAGGTGGAAGAGGACAGTACTCCATTTCTCATCCCCTGTGCCCAGGCAGTGGGGAATGATCCAAGCATAAGACCCGGACTTCCAGCACCAGAGGTGGCCACGCTGAGGACTCCACCTCCCCCCACCCAGGAGCCCCAGCAGGGATGGTCGTTGTCCTTCTACCCAGCCGCTGTTGCTTGGGCAGGCAGTGGTGTCCTTTCCGTGGGGTGTAGCTCAGTGGTAGAGCACTTGCCTAGCATGCATGAGGCCCCAGGTTCTATCCCTAGTTCCACACACACACCACAAAAAAAGGTCCTTGATGATGGGGACGGGACAGGGGAAGTAGGTAAATGATCAGAAGTTGGGCTGTGCCTGGGGTAAGAGCAAGTCCGTGCTCCTTTGATGCTCCTAGGGAGGATTCAGGATGTGTGATGTCACGAGGTAACACCAGCATTCCCTTGGTCTTCCTTCTAGAATATCTTTGGCCTTAGGTCGCATGATGATTGACCACAAGTCTAGGGTTTAATGCAGGTTTTGGGGGTTTTGGTTTTTTTTTTTTTAAATAAAGTTTTCTTTGGTTTTATTTATTTATTTATTTGTTTGTTTGTTTGTTTGTTTATTTATTTATTTATTTATTTTTGGCACCAGGGATTAAACCCAGGAGTGCTCAACCACTGAGCCACATCCCTAGCCTTTTTTTTTTTTAATTTTGAGACAGGGTCTTGCTAAGTTTCTGAGGGCCTCACTAAATTACTAAGGCTGCCTTTGAACTTGCGATCCTCCTGCCTCAGCCTCTCATGTCACTGAGATTACAGGCATTCACCACCATGCCCAGCTGATCTTTATTTTAATTTCAAACAGATACAGGCTTATTATAAAATCATTAATGAATGCCAAAAAAAGAAAAGTCTTCTTGTTCCCCAGTCCTGTTCACCAAGATAAATGCCACTTGACATAAATTTTTTTAGACTTTTTATGCATATATAAGTATGAAGTTATTTCTTTTATAAAAATGATATCCTACTCTCTAAATTATTCTGTACCATGATTTTTTCATGTAATACATATATGGACAGAGTTCCTTGTTGGCTCCTGTACAGCTCTTGTGTTTTGTTATGTTGTTTTGTTTTCATTTTGTTGTTTTGGTTCCAGGGGTTGAACTCAGGAGTACTTAACCACTAAACCACATCCCCATCCCTTTTCTTTTTTTTTAACCTTCATTTTATTTGTTTTTATTTTTATGTGGTCCCGGGGAACAAACCCAGTGCCTCACACGTGCTAGGTAAGCACTCTATCACCGAGCCACAACTCTGGGCCTCCCTTTTCATTTTTTGTTTTGAGACAAGGTCTCACTAAGTTGCTTAGAGCCTCTCTAAATTGCTGAGGCTGGTTTTGAATTTGCCATCCTCCTGCCTCAGCCTCCTGAGCTGCTGGGATTGCATGCACCCACACTCTGTGTTTTTTAATGCCTACATATAAATTCTTATCATAGTTAGTGGATTCGGAGGATTCCTGAATTCCTGGAATATGATTCAAAAATGTGTGTGTTGATGTGTGGGCACACACACACTTTTAAATGGAGAAGGGTCCATATCTTTTATCAGATTCTCAAAACAGGTCTGTGGGCCAAATAGGGTTAAGAACTTTTGTTTTAGGACATCTGGCTCAAGTATGGCATTCTGGGAGCCTCCCTTTGGCTCTGCCACTGATCTGAGATAGTGTGGCCTTGGCCAAGTCAAACCAGCTGTCACCAAGCACCTGCTTTGTGCCAGACACTGTACAGGGACTGGGGAAAGAGCTGTGGAATCCACAGGCCTGACCTGAAGGAACTTGAGTTATAACCTCGGATAGGCTTTTACATGGCATGACGGTGACGCAGCCAGCCCCAGACACGTGTTTAGAATGAAAACAACAAAGATGAAGGGGAGACTGTTTTGATAGTGATGAGGAAATGGGGACCACCTAGTATTTCCTGGACATCTATGTTCCCAGTCCTATATTAGTCACTTTCCTATGTTTATATTGCTAGAATCTTCTAAAGAACTTGTAGAATTGCTTATGCCTCTTTCTTTACTGATAGAATAAAACAGATAAGAATACAAAGAACACAAAAGGAGAGAGTTTCCAGGAGGAAAAGTGGTCTGTGTCAGGCAGGATCTCTGAAGTGAGAGAAGTGAGGGCTTCTGAGTGTGACAGAAGGCTGATGGCAGTCCACGCTTCCCCCTGGGGACGCTCGCTCCTGAATGAATGTAGAAACCTCCAGGATTAAAGTCTAAGCCCAGAAAGTTCTTCAAGAGGTAGAGCAGCTGGCACCTCTGGTGTCAGACTTCCCTGATCAAAGTTCTGGCTATGGTACTCTCTTCCCAGTGACCTTGGACAAGTCACTTGTCCAGGTTTCAGCTTCCTTATCTGTGAAATGACAGTGGTGACAGCAGCACCACACAGGCTTTTGTTAAGATACATAAATAAGCAATGCTTAGAAAGGGCTTAAACTGTGCCTGGCTTACGCCAGTGGGCATTAAACACTAGTCCTCATGAACATCCTCCTTACCCCCAGCCCCCTTTATTTGGGCATGAGGACCCTGAAGTCCAGAGAAGAGAGGTGCGCCAGATGGGCAGCTGGCCTGAGACAGAGGCTGGGGTGCTTTCTCCACTGATCCCCCGAAGACAGCCCTTTCTCCTTGCTTCCTTGGGTTCACCCAGACTTGTGAAGCGCCTTGTTTTTTGAGGCTTCCATCTGACCCACTTTGGTCTAGGTGATGGAAATGTCTAAATGTCTGGTATTACTGGGAGACTTAGAGGACATAGGTATTTCTTAGAAGTGAAGCCAAAGTTTCCCACACTGTCTTGGTTCACAACCCTTAATATCTCAGACAGTTTTTCATGGCACCTCAAGCCAAAACAAATACCTAACCATTTCATTTATTAGATAGGTTAAATAATAAATCTATCATAAAACTTAGCAACCATTTGAAAAGCGAGTCATATAAGTTGAAAGAAAAAAAAAATCTCCTTTCCTTCTTAAAATTACTAATGGGACCTAGGCCTTGTTGGCCACTGCATGGCTTCTTGAACTTTGAAATCAGATTGGATAGCACCCACCTTCATTTCCTGTTCTACATCCCACAAAGTACTTTTTATCACAGCAACCTCCAAAATCCTAGCTTCTTAAAGACATATCATCAAAAAGAATGCAGCCAGCTGGGGAGAGCTCCGTGGTAAAGCATTTGCCTGGCACACGTGAAGCCCTGGGTTTGATCTTCAGGACCATTTAAAAAAAGAGAGAATTCAGCATGATCTAATGTTGGAACTGACCCATCTCTAAAAGTAGTTCACACCATCTCCTAAAGATGTTGAGCATCCCCATTTACTTCAAATACAATATCCCATACCACCTTTCTGAATTCCCAGTGGTGCCCTGGGGTACTTCACTTCACAGTTGGGGGTGGTGGGGGCACAGTGATAAGGTTAAAGACATTTGCTGGTGCAAATCCTGCTGCTGAATTAGTTCTAGTCAGTTTCAGTGACCTTTTAGGGCTGGAAATACTGACAAAAGTCAAAGTTCATGTAAGTTGGTAACTGAACCAGATAATTCTTTGACCAGGTGAGAAAGATTTCTCACGAATAGGCAAAAGTCCAACAGTCCCATGTCAATAGAGCTCCTGTTGGTGGAGTCAGCAAATCCCCAAACAAAACCATGGGATCCCTAACACATCTTTTCCAGCGGTTCTGTGACCACTGGCGCCCCCTGGCGATGCCACTCCAGGCTTACAGGAGAACCAGTGGCAGCAGCAAGGACTCTATGCAGAAATCTTAGTGTTTAACAAGCTGCTGTTTGAGTTGGTGGGAGGAAGTAAAGAGCTAGCCCTTCCAAATCCTCATTCTAACTGAAGTAGATAACACTGTCCCCACCATGGTAGCATGGTTGATGGGAAGTATGCAGCACTCTTAAATGGCTGAGCCAGGATCTGAGACCAAGATGTCTGTACACAAGGCCTATTTCCTCCTACCATTGCCAAGCTGCAGGTCCCTGCAAAAAGTAGTGGACATCCCCAGTCCTGTTAGTCACAGCAGGAGTGGCCCTAGCCAAAACCTTCCCCAGAAGCCTCATCAGTACCCAAAGCTAGGAAGAACTGAAAATAGAATAAATATAAACACAGGCCTGTCTATGTAGACATTTTAGTTCTCTGAGGAAAAAGAAATAATTACAAGAAGAGTAAAGAAATGTGCTGGGAGGGGTGCTGAGGGCCAAGAGACAGGAGACAGAAAGGTGGGAAGATTCTTTCTAAAGGGGAGACTCGGATGTTGACCAACAGAAGGACCCATGTCCTAGAATATTGCCCAGACAGTTGGGCTGGGGGCAAAGAATGTTCTGGGTTTGGCACATTGAGGGTAGGCAGCATGCCAGGAGCCTGGATAAGGACTGTGGTTTGTGTGACTGTTTTCTCACACCGTCAGCACTGCAGAACTTTAAGTATGAGCACTTGTCCCTGACGCCAAGAATACACAGTACAATTTAGTCCCTGAGGACCCAGCAGACCCATCTGGCCCGTCTGGCCTGGGCATCATCACTGGAAGTATCAGCAACATCTGCATGTGGAGGACCAAGGGTCCCCATGGGATGCCAGCATCCAGCTGGCCCCTCTCCCTTGACACAAGCTTCCACTGGGTCCTTTCAGGTGCGGGTCGAGGTGTTTCGGGCAGAGGAACTGATGGCATGTGCAGGATTGACCTCACCCAGAATCGTCCCTTTGTATGGTGCTGTAAGGGAAGGTCCTTGGGTCAATATCTTCATGGAGCTGTTGGAAGGTAAGAAGCCAGGGCCCGGGCTGGGGATGTGGCTCAAGCGGTAGCGCGCTCGCCTGGCATGCGTGCGGCCCGGGTTCGATCCTCAGCACCACGTACCAACAAAGATGTTGTGTCCGCCGAGAACTAAAAAATAAATATTAAAAAAAAAAAAAAGAAGCCAGGGCCCATTCCTTCTCCCTCACAAGTCAAGGGCAAGAATTTCCCCAAGTCGGCCAGGCACAGCGGCACACGCCTGTAATCCCAGCAGCATGGGAGACTGAGGAAGGAGGATCACAGGTTCAAACCTAGCCTCAGCAACGGCAAGGCACTAAGCAACTCAGTGAACCCTGTCTCTAAATAAAATACAAAAAAGGGCTGGGATGTGGCCCAGTGGCCGAGTGCCCCTGGGTTCAATCCCTGATACCCCCCCAAAAAAAATAATAAGTTTCCCCAAGTGCTTCCCAGATTGACAGTGGTCTCTAGTCAGTCCACATATAACCTCTTGGCCCTATAACATCTGCAGGAAAGGCCTGCTTTGCCACTACCTGCCCTTCAACCTTGTTCTTGGCTGTGTGGAGGCCTGGGAAAGCCCCAAGTAAAGACTGGCTGTTGGTCTCCTAGGTGGCTCACTGGGCCAGCTCATAAAGCAGAAGGGCTGTCTGCCAGAGGACCGGGCCCTTTACTACCTGGGCCAGGCCCTGGAGGGGCTGGAGTACCTCCATTCACGGCGGATTCTGCATGGAGATATCAAAGGTGAGGCTCCCGCCCCCACAGCCTGGTCCCACAGGCTCTTGCCCCGTGCCTGCCTGGCTTCCTCCCAATTCTTCTGGGCCTGCCTGGTCACCTCCAGTGGCAGGGTCTGAGTCAGGCTGACAGGACTATGCCTTATGGGAAGAGAATGTGTTTTCCATGCTCTACACCTGGCACTCTGGTTACCAGTGGGTGGGACCTACCGAACTGAAAGCCAAGCTTTGACCTACTGGTGACCCCTGGGAGAGGGTAGGACAGCAGAGTGGAGTGGCAGGGTCCCCAAAAGTAGCCCCTGCTCCTGTCTCCTCGGGCTCAGATCCGGCCTGCTGCCTGCCTCTAGCCTGCACTTATACCCCCTCCCTTCCTCCATATCTAATGAAACAAATCTGAGGCAGCAGCTGCCATGTAGGGTAGGCCAGAAAATTACCTCACTGGAGACCAGGCCGGCTGAGCCATGGTGGGCTGGGACCCGTCACGACTTAACTGTTCTCTTCCTCCCTGTGCTGGTGCTGGCCTTCAGCTGACAACGTGCTTCTGTCCACTGATGGGAGCCATGCGGCCCTCTGTGACTTTGGCCATGCCGTGTGCCTGCAACCTGATGGCCTGGGGAAGTCCTTGCTCACAGGTAAGTCCCCAGAGCGCCCCTCCCCATGATGACAATAGCCATTGCCCTCTACTAGGCATTAGCCATGTGCCTTGTTGCTTCCACAGTGGGAACGAGTGATGTGAGCAAAAGATGTTATGTTTATGTTCCCCAAAAGATTTGAGCCCCACAGCCACCCTGGGTTGTTACAAGGCTCTTGTTATGTGTAAATGCAGTAATGGATGTCAAGCACTCAGTTCTGATGCTCCAGTGAAGAGAGCGGGAAGGTGGAGAACTCCGCCACAGGTCCCAGGCTTCACAGATGGTGATTTTTTTTTTTTTTTTTTTTTGAAACAAGGTCTTGCTAAGTTGCTGAGGACCTCACTAAGTTGCTGAGGCTGGCTTTAAATGTGTGATCCTTCTGCCTCAGCCTCTTCCAGAGCCTCTGGGATTACAGATATGTGCCACCATGCTCAGCTAAAATGTCTATTTTTGACCTCCATTTCTCTGATTATTAAAATAACCCATGCCTATTGTAAAATACTTGGCAAGAATGGAGTTAAGTGGTATTAAAGAGGAAGGGAAAAGAATTCATGCTATTCTTGATCAGAGAGATAATTGTGAATATTTTTTTTTCTTTTTCATTTTACTAACATTTGAGGAGCATCATAGCAGCAATTAATCCTCTGTTACTGAATTTTCAATGCCCAGCCCCCTCCCCATTTTAAGGGTTCAGTCTGGAGGGCAGAGCCGTGTTGTGGAGGACAGATTGCTCTGCACCCCAGCAGAGTCCCGAGCTGAGCAGGTTTGCCTTAGAGGCTTTATTTATTTAAAGTACTTCAACTGAGACGAATTCAAGGAACCCCTGGATTTAACTAGAATGGGCAATGCTGAAGTTCTTGCCCACCCGAGGTCACAGGTGATATTTCTGTCTTTCCCTGGCCTTCTCAGGGGACTACATCCCTGGCACAGAGACCCACATGGCCCCGGAGGTGGTGATGGGCAAGCCCTGTGATGCCAAGGTGGACATCTGGAGCAGCTGCTGCATGATGCTGCACATGCTCAACGGCTGCCACCCCTGGACTCAGTATTTCCGAGGGCCGCTCTGCCTCAAGGTCAGTGGTAGTGGTGACTCCAGGAAGCCAGCAGGGGAGGCAGCAGGGCCACAGGCCTGAGCTGAAGGCTTGAGGGGGCCTCCCATTTTGGCTGCTGAGTGACAGATGTGAGCAGGAGGAGGCTTTGCCATAAATGTGAGATTCTAGTTAAAAGACCTGTCACCCAATTCTGGGGGTTCAAGAAGAAATCCCAGCTGAGGGGTCTCAGAGTTCACGGCAAGTCAGAGCTCTCTTCTGCCCGCACACTGGGCCACCTCTGCCTGCCTCCTGACAGGGCATCTTGCCGCCTGGCTCTGGCTCGTCCCACCCGGCTTCTTGTTGCCCTTTTCTAGGAAGAGTCCAGCCCTGGCTCTGCCTCAGATCTCTCCATTCCTTGTGGCAGACCCCAGAGCAGCATGGGGGCGAGGGATATGGCAGAGAGCAAGCACAGAAGGCTGGATAGGGAACGAGGGGGAGGCAGGCCTCACATGTTGTCTTTTGGCCCCCAGATTGCCAACGAGCCTCCGCCTGTGAGAGAGATCCCCCCCTCCTGCTCCCCTCTCACGGCCCAAGCCATCCAAGAAGGGCTGAGGAAGGAACCTGTCCACCGAGCATCAGCGACAGAGCTGCGGGGCAAGGTTGGCCGGGCACTGCAGCAAGGTAAGAGCTGGCAGGGCACAGAGCAGTGGGCCATGAGAGGGACGGGGCAGGGGTGGTCAGCACTGGGGTCCTCAGCCTCTGGGATCCTCAGTCTCACCGCCATCTGGAGCAGGGGGTGACACCAGCCTTGGGGGTGCTGGGAAGATTGCAGTGCTATCTTAATGAGGGCAGTACTCAAGAAGTGGGAGAAAGGGGCTACCACGCAGAAAAGTGGGTCGAACTGGTTAGGGATCAGAGAGCGTGAGCTGAAGCCACGCACCACTTAACAGCCACCCTGAAAGTCTGGAGCATCAAGTACTCTGGGCCGGGGTGCAGCAGGAGCCCTGGGCACTGCTGGAGGCTGTGTTGGTGAGGCTGCAGGCTCAATGGAAGGCACCTGGTAGCCGTCCAAAGTCAATGGATCTGGGAGCTGTCCCCTCCACTCCTGGGTGCACTGTCCACCCATTCTGCAGCCTCATTTTAGTAGGAGAGTTGGGTGGGTCTCTCACCTGGAGAGTGGAGTCGCAAAGGATAGGGGATGGGGCATCACTCAGTCCCAAAAGCCACTCCATGATTGCAGAGTGGGGACTGAGCTGAAAGCCAGAGTGCTGAGTGAAAAGAGGAACCGACAGAAGACCTGGGGCATACATCTTTATTGTATATTAAAAATCAATAAATGATGGGGCTGGGGATGTGGCTCAAGCGGTAGCGCGCTCGCCTGGCATGCGTGCGACCCAGGTTCGATCCTCAGCACCACATACCAACAAAGATGTTGTG